TATATAGTTATGTTTTTATGGCTGGCTTAATATTTACAAGTCAATAATTCTATTTGTAAATCCTGTTTGGAAACTAGTGTGCACCTATTAGTGCCTCGTAAATCCTGTGTGTTCCTTACAGGGTTTTTTTTTTTGTATAGAAAGGTGCTGTGCCTTGTTTGTCAAGTACACCCACTGCAAATGGTAGACAAAGACGTCATCTGCTCAGGCAGCCTGCCACCCAGCCTGCTCCTCGTCTATAAAAAGTGATAACAAACTCCTACTTCTGAATGACAGCAAATGTCAGACTATAGCTCTGACTCACTCTGTGAGGATTCATCAAACCTCACATCATCTGCCAGGCGCCAGGCTGTCAGGAGAGAAGAGTCTTTCAAGCTGAACCAGCAAACTTTGCACACTAGCGTCTCCAAATGGCAACGAGCCGTCCGTGGAAACTATTTGAACTTCAAAACCCATAAATCCTGTGAGGTGACGTCAAGCAAACTAGACTCCGTTTGTTCATGTTTACCGACTGAGCCGGCACACTGGGATGACAAAAGGTCTAATTTTAGTATGTCTCCTCTTTCTCTTGCAGGAGTTGAAACATTTTGCAGTATGTTTATGTTGACGCGATATAGTGATTATTGTGAGGCCTTGATTTGTTTTGGTTCTGCAGTCCCACTAATATTTCAATACATTACATCTCAAATAGGACCTTTTCTTATTTGTGCAAATCACTAAGCAAACTAGCCATAACTCCAGTTTCCAGCAGCTCTTGTACTACCGCATTAATGGTGAGCAGGACTACTACACGGATGTTGCTTCCAGGTCTGAAAAATTAAATTCGCCAATGAGCATGCGCTTTCACAGTGAGACCCGCCCCTCTCCCCCTCTGAACACCCCTGATTGATTAAAGTCAAATGTATTATCAATTATCAAAAGTGGTGCCAGATAAATTTATGTAAATGAGCGACTGTGGACTTTACACTTTAAAATATAATCAGTTTACGTACAAAAATGGTTATGAAATGGTTATGATACTTAAAAATTTTTAGTAAAATTAGAGATGATGAGTTTAATAACTTTCTTTTTTGAGGGTCGCACCTTAATTTAATTAGGAACGCATACAGGATGAGTTACGTGAACTGTCAAGGTAAGTCAGCATTACTTAATTTTAGCTTGAGCTGATTGAAAAGAAACAAAATTAGTATTTTCTTTAAGACTGTAAAATGCCTTTTTTTCATTTTAATTTTTTAACCTGTGCTCAAAGAACTTCACAGACACGGAAATACATGTTTGTTCTTTTGTATATATATATATATATTTTTAATTTCTGGAAGTGATTAATCGCTACATGACTCTTTGGCATGGCGACCTGTTGCTAGCTAAACTTGGAGATCACACATCCACAACAATCAAAGCCCTGACACAGCATATTTAAAGTAATGATCCCAATAAAACTAAGTTAATTATAACTTTACAATGAATTTAAATGCTTTGAAAAGATGCAGAGACTTTAAATTGATTAAAAAGCTCCAGGGGCTGAGAGACCACTGCAAAGCTGAGTGATAATTTCATATTGTTTTGGTGAGTAAAATATCTTATATTCATTTGATGGATTGTTAGTATGAAAACACTGATTGGAGCAGCTTTAAAAAGAGCATTAAAATTGCTAAATTGTAACCTTTTCTCCACCTATCAGTTTTGATTATAGCATAGTGTTTTCATCTTTGTCCAGATTTAATGCTTTTCCTCATTTATTCGCTGCAGATTTACAGCAGAAGAGAGAATAATACAGGTAGGAACGTTACCACAGATTATATGATGACTCCTCACAAGGGCCAGAAGGCCCTTCACCCTCTTCTTGTTGGGATGTGTGTTGGCACATTCCCCCCCATGGCTGGTAACCAGCAGGCCGCAGGCCCAGGGCACGAGGAGGTGAAATGTCAAGAGCAAAATGTAAATTCATGCTGACAAGCGATGCAGAAAACATGTTCTCTGCGACTCAGGGAACCTTGATATTTCACAAAGTCAAATGAACATGTCAGCCAACACTGCAGGGCAACCATTGGGTTATTTAAAGAGGAGGCTCAGAAAGCAGGCCGGTGTTACGTTACATGCAGGAGGGACTGTTTTTCATGTAGCTCAGCAGGCAAAGCTCTCCTCTGATTGTGGTTGTTATCCTCCTTCCACAGTCTCGCTCCGCCTGTGAGCCATCACCGAGTCCCACAGTGAGATACAATGACGATGAGACACGAGAGGACACACAGTGGTTCACGTTGGACCGTCATTACAAAACTGCTGCGCTCTCACCCACCAGGTCCGCTGTTGGACCCAGATCCTGCACGTTATCTGTCCCAATACACCAAGCTCCCCAGAACATCATGTGGCCCACAGCCTGAGCTATGATTAGCAGCAGGACAGCACCAGGACTCAAACCCCCTTCATCCAGGCTGCATTATAAACTGAAAAAATAAAGATCAGAGTCTGGATGCTTTGGAACCGATGACTTTATAAATATGATATCAGAGTCTACTGTGAAACTGTGATCTGGACGGCAGTTGTACCTCATGTCTTTTGCATCACTATGATAGAAGAAGCGTGGCTCTGTGAATGTCGCTGTCAGTCTTAGATGCACTTTGGTCCAAACTGAAATATCTCAGCAACCACTGGATGGACAGTTCCGGGGAAGTGGAATTAATCCTGGTTAAAATCCTGACTTTTCCTCTAGCACCACCAGCAGGTTGACATTTTAGGGGTTTTCAACTGACAAAACTATAACAACGACTGAACAGCCTGTCACACTAAGATTCAGACTCTTATATTGGACCTCTATCATTACTATCCAAATAAAGATGTTCATATCAGCCCAAAACTCTATGCTAAGATAAGGAACATGGCAGAGATTACTGTCAATTCCTGCCAGTATGGATTGAGACTATGAGCCTTATATGCCTCATCTGCTGCCCCTCCTTGATAGCCAGCTTTTCACTACATTTTTATTACATCCGACTGTTTATAAAGGACTTAAAGCTGCCTGATCAGTTAAAAGGTAATCATCAATGCTGTTTCTATTATATTCATAATATTTAAGTTTGAATATATTGATTTTATGTCATTATGTGGACAAGATTTGTCACTAGAAAAATTAGCCTGGGACCAAAATTCTGCTCAAGGCGGCCAGGTCCTGTGGTTGAAATCATGCATAAATCATCACCCCTCCACTGCCGTGCTCATACTGAACCCTGCACTTCTCCCGATACTTCTTTGTGCTTTGCTCAGTTTTATCTTATGGTGAATTTGCTGGGATGTCCATCCCCGTGCCACTCTTTAAGCACACACCGGAATGAGCCAGACCAGCAAATTGCCAAAAAGGTGATCACACTTGCTAATGATTAATTAACCAAGTGCATTTGATTAGCACTGCCTGACTGCTTCTTTACCCTCTTAATTCAGCAAGGGTGTGCTTAATTTTTCACAGGTCTGCATAGAGCCCTGTTAAAACTCTTTTTCACATGAAAGTACGCCCCGTGATAATGATCCTCATAAAAAAAAATATGATTTTTTTTTAAAGAATACTACTGAAATTATGGAGCATCATAGTGCTAGAAAAATAAGTAATGTGAATTAAAATATGCAAGATTTGGACCCCTTTGTGCTTTGGACCTGTAACTTATGGTACTTTTATAAAGGTATCTACCATTGCAACACACACTGATGGAGTGTTTTTAAACACAGAACAAGAACTGTGAATTTTTCCACCCATATAGTATCAAAAATGTTTTTGAATGGGATCTTTTACCAAAAACCATTACATCTTACATAGAGGCCAATGAACACTCATGGATATCTATTAATATACATTTCAAATTGATGGGAAAATAAACATAAAACTAAAGCTTAAAGTGCTTAATTGATGTGTCTGCTCATCGTTCTGTACCAAATTCTTTTTATGCCTGGGTTAATTCATAGCTAAAGAGCTCTCCTTTCAGCAGAGGATGTCCTGATGACACTCTCTGACATCTGAGATCACGCTCCCTTCTGTCATGGTGTACATGAGCTTTCGCTGGCTGTGCTCATGAGTAGTTCCGTTTCTGATGTCATGCCTGCTGCACTCAGACACGTAAAATTCAATGAGCTCTTGATGTGACTGAGAGTTAAATGAAGCTTCAGTGCCACACTTAACACAAACCGAAAGATGCAAAGAAGAATGTCAACATTTACAATGCAGACATGACTGCTGATCTCACAGCAAACAGAGCATGCAGTGGAGTAAAGAACATATGTTGCATATGGCCAAGAGGGGAGTGATTCAGACTGCTAAAAACAACCGTGACCCTACTCTGCAGTGATACAGAACAAGGTCCAGAATACAGCATCACACACAAGGACAGAAAAGTGCTATCAGTGTTTGAAATGTTAACATCCTTGTCAGTCCCTAAATAGAAGCTAATTGCAGCAGGAAGCAGCGTGTTTTTAGGCTTTTTAGCGAAGTGGTGAGAGGCACAAAGCCAGACAGAAAAAGACATGTGATGTGACCAAGGGATGTGTCCATGTGAAAAGATTTCTGTCACTGAGGCCACATTTGACACAGCCAGCCACATGTTGGCCTGATAATGTCAATATCATTTCCTTCATCAGCTGTCAGCTCAATGCCCGCTCCTTGTCACTAAAACAGTGTGAAAATAAAGAACTCCCACACTTGGTGACAGTGCTTGAGCTGCACAATAAACCCCCTAGAGTCCTAGAGTCAGTAATTAAGGGGCATCCAAATGTCCCCCCCCTCTACAGTCTGCTGCATCACTGACAACCATCTTTAATGGAACAGTTCAACATTTAGGTTAAGACACTTTCTTGCTGAGAGTTAAGATGAGAAAATTGTACAGCAGTCATGTCTGGGTGCCAATACAAAGCCTAAGGCATCAGTCAGCTACTTCAATTTAGCCTGGCTCACTCCAAAGTTAACAAAACACACCTGCATCATTAACGTCTGGTTCAGACCAAGTTTAGCTTGTTTTTTAAAAATTAAAGTAATGTCATGTGTTTGGCAGGGGAAAAGTCCAATGACTCACTTCTGTCATGGTGTAGCCTACTGAAGTGCAAATTTTGCAACCTCCAGCTGCTTCAGGGTATTAAAGGTTAACTACAGCGGAGGTGGCCCATCTGCATACAGGCCCTGCGAAAGTACTCATTAAAAAACTGCAGAGTAATCCAAGCTATGCAACTGAACCGGGGGCTTGAAGAACCCTTCCATCGTGAAACCCATAAACAGCACACGATACAAGCTTAATGTTTATGTGCTGCCTGTATGTGAAGTTACACCCCCCACCTCACCCTCATTCTGTCACGCATGTAAGTCTGTCAGGTCCAGCTTGACGTGTGGGGGAGGGACCACACAATGCACATGCCAACTGCACAAAAACATGTGCAGAGCCCTGAGCATCTTCCTCATCCTTCCCTCCCAAAAACTGTGTTGGTGTAATCAGATTACACTGTCAGTAGAGTTGTGCCTGGCTGCTGCCAGTAGCACAGATCCATAACTTATCGAAAGCTGATTAACACATCAACCCCCGTGCTTGTGCCTGCTAAGAACGAGGAGCTGTGCGGTTGTCAGGATTACTTAAGTGTGAACCAAAGACTGAGGCTTCCAGATGTGAGAGCAGTGCATTAACCGTCACTGCTATAACCACAAGCTCCTGTCACTGTGACACTTCAAGCTGGGCTTTACATTTTAAAATATACTTTAATAATCGCACAATAGTTTACTGTAATATTAAAGAAAAAAAAACAAATAGGGTATAATGAGGTGGAAGCAGATGAGCTGCGACAGCAAATGGTGTCTCATTAAGAATCCAAACGTCATTAAAGGATGCAGCTGCTTCTGACCTTTGACATGGATTGAGAAAATCTCTCGTTTGATATCTTGAGTGCCTCCTTCAGCACTGCAATTAAATCTGAGCTGAAAGCTCTGCGCTGCTCCTTTTCAGCTCCCTTGGGATCTCAGACTGTAGGATGCCTCCTGGTGGTGACTTCTGGCAGTCAGATGACATCTAGAAATCCTCCCCCAATTGCCTAATGAGCTGTAATTTTCACCAATAGCAGAGCTACTTTAGGATTTTTTTTTTTTTTTTGCAGGGTTGGCTTCTGCAAAAGGCCCGTCTTGTGCAGCCATGGCAGGATGGTAAATTGGAGCTGGCGCGATGAGTCCTGACAGCAGTACAGTCTTGGCCACGAGCACAAACTGCCGTGCTTACGTAACCAGCCTATTGTTACCGCCCTGTCACTGCCATTAAAATTCATAGGATTCACATGAAAATGCGACCCAAACAACTGTCTGCTGCTGCAGCGGAAGATTGAGAAGCAGGCGGATGGATGAGATTCAAATGAGCTAAAAGTGAAAGCACCACACAGATGGCCAGTCCACTGAACTCTTGGTCCCGTTTCAGCCTATAGGTCACTGTACTGGGGACAACTGGGCCCTCTCCAAAGAGCAGAGGAGGCACAGTGAAGGCAGCACTGGGAACAACTCAGCTGACACTCCTTCACACCTTGATGACAAACCCCATCTGTTTGTAGCAGTACTATCAAAGAATGATCACATGAGGATTATTTATAGCTGCAGGTGTAAAACACTCCTCTAGATCAGTCGTTTTGCTTTCTGAACTGCATCACAAAAAAGGTAAAGAGTTGAACGGTTATATCAAAGAACTCTTTTCTATTGTTGTGTTTTGATATTATTCCTTTTACAAGGGAAAATAAGCATTTTTCATCCTGTTAGACATCTTTAACCCTTCACATTTACTTTGCAACTCACTGAAGGGCATTACAATGCAGAAAGCCGAGTGTGGATTTAAATGTCTCTTTAATTGGGATCAAGGGATTTCCTCATTATCGGCAGAGACAAAAGGAAAATGGCAAAACAGCAACCAAAAGTAATTTAAATATAGATTCACACAGCTCATACTCCCTGGAGAATAAACCACGAAAGTCGAGAAAACGAAAACAGGATTTAGTAATATTTCCACTAAGGACTGTGGTCATGATGTGGAAACCCCCCCCCCTTCTTTTTTTAGAGCCATTAATAGCGCAGTGCCCATGTGGCTTTATTGTACCGGGATGTAAACATGTTAATTTTGTCTGGTGGAATTTACTTTGGAGCCAGCCTCTAGTGGCCAACAGAGGAATTGCAGTTTTTTTTTGGGCATTTTAACATTTGCTTTATTTTGCTTGTCAAATCCAAAAACCACACATTCATGGAGGTGGGGAGGTGCTTGTACAGTAAGACAGCACTCCTCCTGCTAAAATATGCTCTCTCTCTCTCTCTCACACACACACACACACACACACACACACACACACACACACACACACACATATAATTATGCAGGTGTTTCCACACTGTTCAGATGGAATGATTTATTCATAATTATGATAGCATAATAAAACAATGAACATTGAAAGCACTGACAGTTGAACCCAAGGCCTCTCACACACAGCATGCACCACCCCGACCCTAGCATTCACAGAGACACTGAACATCCCTAACGGCAAGTTGCTCCTGGCTTCTGAAAAGCGTCCTTTTTTAACTCTGTCCAAGTCAGTTTTTCCTTGTTCTTTTTTTTTAATCCTTTAAATATATTTTGATATAAAAACAAGCCCACGTATGATGAATCAACCATGTTTGTGAACTGCCTCTCCCCCTTCTTCTCCTGTTATTGCCCTGCCACCCAACCACCCACCTACCGCTCCTCTGGGCGGTCTTTAAGGAAGGATGAACATGACACTGGCCCCCCCCAAGTCTCCTCACTTCCTATTCTCGTGCTCTTCATGGACGCTTGGATTAACAAAGCAAAAACAAAAAAAAAAAAAAAAAAAAAAAAAAAAGTCTGATGTAAAGATGGTGGAGGTGAAGGAGATGCCACTTAAAAAAACCCAAACAGTTTCATAACCTCTGGAACAAAGAAAGCAATAAAAAAAGATTTTGTTTAAAAAATAAAAATTGAAACCATAACAGTCCAATCAAAAGAAGTGTTGGAGGGAAGTCTGGAGCTCTGTAGACTGGAGGCACTTTGGCACAGAGCGAAGGCCCCACACCTGACAACAAGGCCGAGGGAAAGCAAGGAGGGATGCAAGGAAGGAATGACAGAGTTGGGCTGAAAGGCATGCAAAGCCACATGGTGATATGAGAATCTGGGAATGATCGAGTGGGGTGGACTGGAGAAGAAAAGAGCACCTGACAAACGTGGAGGAAAAGGCCAGCCTCCCCTCCAGTTAATGCCATGTTCAGGAGAGGAGGAGGAGGGGAGGAAATACAAAGAAACAAAAGGGAACTTTCACATAGAAGAAGAAGAGCAATTTGGACCAAGTGACAAAGAGAAGGGAGAGTGAGTGAGCAGTGGCAGGTGTAGGAGGAGGAAAGAGAAGCGGCCCATCGCGAGAAGAGGAAATTGTCTGGCAAAAGCTATACAACACAAACAGGAAAACAGTCCTAGTGTGAAAGCAGAGGACGGCTGGTGGACGGTGGAGGTCGGGGGAGGGGGCACAGCGTAGCAGTCCCACAGGTCAAGAGGCTTGGCAGGTAGGAGGAAAGTGCTGTGGTCCCTCTTCTCCTTCTCCTGCTCCCCTCCCACTTTACAGCTGTGCTGGGCTGCATCTCACCCCCGTCCTCTTCCCCCGGTACCCCCCACAAGCACCTCCTCTTCACAGGTAGAGCTCCTTGGCTCTGATATGCTGGAGCTTCTCCCTCAGCATGCGGAAGGAGGGCCGCATCACGGGATCCAAGGTCCAGCACTGCTTCATCAGGTCGTACACCACGGCGGGGCAGCCGTCTGGGGCATCCATCTTGTACCCTTTCTCTACCCGAGGCACCACTTCTTTCAACGGCTGAGAGACACAGACAAAGAAATGCTGACATTAGCTCAACATTTTGATCAGTCGAACTGATGCAATGGACTCAAAGGTGATGCAATATTCCAGGCAAAGGTAACTACATAACAAGAATAACTAAAAATAACTAAAAATGCGAACGTATCAACCGGTGACACATCACCTGCTTCAGTTGTTTCATGGCATGAATGAGGCCAACACAGAGAACCAGCAGTTACACTGATCTTGCACAAAAATAAATAAATGGTTCAGGCAATAAAGCCTGCCATCTGCTGGTGTATATCAGACGTCAGCGAGCCACAGAAAATCCCATAAAGGTACTTACAATTCTAGGATAAGGCACACGCCCAAAGGAGTAGATCTCCCACAGTAGGATCCCATAACTCCAAACGTCTGACTTAGTGGAAAACCTCTGTTGGATTAAGAGAGAAGCCGAAATTCATACATTATACATAAAGGCATTCAGAAAGCAGATCAGGCTTGCGCCTCCCTCCAGACCAACAAAACCAGGTCGTACAGTACATACACCCCCACGGTGGATTTTAAACCAAACAATCAAGATGTGACTGAAGTGCACACTTTCAACTTTAATTCAAGAGCATTAACAAAAGGACTGCTTAAACTTAAGGAATTGCTGACATTTTTATAGACAGTCCCTCATTTTCATTTTAAATATAAAGATTTCCACTCTATAACTGTCCATTTCCACTGCACTGCTGCCACAGCCATTATATTTTGGTCTGCTGCGTTGACCCTCACATATACACACACACACCGTCTGTGTTTTTTTTAAACCAACATTAAGATGTTGGCATCAAATTCAGAAACACATTTCTCATTCTCAACATTTTCAGTTAAACTCAGGCCTTAATTCATTAACATTTCAGTGAATTTGTTTACACATTGTCCTAACTTTGTTGGAAATAGAGCTGAATAATTATTTCCCCCCCCCCATATTTGCAGCTTGTTCATCAGTCATACACTCTTTGCTGTCAGGCTCTGGGTGCCCAGAGTTACTTTATCTGGGCAGAAATTCTGGGCAGCTTGACAGATGATTCGATTAAGATGTTGAGAAAACCTTTGGGCTTGCTTTTACTCTCCAGCAGGAAAACTGTTTATGAGCCACCAAACACCACTCTTTGTTAAACTGGCCTCTTTAAATACTTTTAGGGCAGACAAACACACTATTAATGAACTTGCTAGACCCGGGATCAAGATTATACCACTATTTAAAAGACTGTCTTGGACTGGCACTCTCATTCAAATAAACTGATATCCTGCAGCCTCCCCTTTTTAAATAAACCGCCCTTATTCAGATCAATTAAGAGTCGAGTCAGCAACATCAACCCGGTCTCATTCCATCACCTTCTCTCTTAGTGCTTCTGGGGATGTCCATTTGACGGGCAGCTTGGCAGTGTCCTGTATGGAGGATGCCTCCTTGGTGAGGCCGAAGTCGCTGACCTTGGCGATGTTATCGTCAGAAACCAGCACATTGCGAGCCGCCAGGTCTCTGTGGACGAAGTTATTGGCCTCCAGGTACTCCATAGCTTCACACACGTCACTGCCAGGAAAGAGGATGAGTGAGAACTGGCTAACTAATATAGGGCAATAGGTGGTTGAGGATTTTACTTTTATCATCTGCCCTTGTCAGGAAAATTAGCTTGGCTAGAGGGAAAACTAAGCCATTATGATTTTCAATTTAGTTTCAGATGTAAATGCTCCAAAATGTTTTTTCACTACTGTAAGTTATTTCAAAACTTACAAGGCTGGCACAGAAAAATGAAACTTGAGCTGATTAATTTGAGACAAACATATAATAATGCTCATCTGAAAGCTTACACTCATTCTTTGTGCTGATCACAATGGACTTAACTTGCTTTAGATAACAATATTAGCTAGATAATTGTTAAATTAAAATAAATAAGGATGTATGAGTTGCAGCAAACAACGTTCATGATACTGCTATGACACTTTTCTCCTGAAGTTCAGTAAGAACGCAGAGGGTTAAAGTGGCAGTGATTTAGTTTCAGATCCCGAAAAGAGCAGTTTAAAAATGTTCTTTTAAATAATTTTTTAAATAATTGCTTGAAAGAGACTCACAGTGAGAACTTGAGTAAGCAGTCTCCACCGAGAACAGTCCGCCCTCGAGAGCGCAGGTAGTCCACTAGGCTGCCCTGTGGTGCAGTTTGGATTATTAACACAATGCTTACATTCAAGAAAGTCTCACAGAAAACTGTGTAGGTACATTTTTTTAGCATGAATAGCCTGAGTAAAAACCAAATCGACGACCCCGTGCGAAAAAAGAAAACATGTCAAAGTATTTTTTTTAATAAGGGGAAACATTTGTTTCATCTGTAAAATAACAAGTGTTTTAAAAATCCATTTGCTGTGTTACATGAGGTCACAGTCGTCATCATTTCTTGGCTTAGAAGCAAATGCCTCCTCTAGTGCACAGCCTGTAACCCCCTGTGCAGATCAAACAAACAAGATATAAATCTTTTTGTACCTGCTGAATGGGGTCAGGTCAGGTGTTTTCCAGTGTCTCCTGTCTTTATGCTAAGCAAGGCTAACAACTGTTTCATTAGCGTGGTTTTGACTGTGTTTTATTCTCCTAATGTACTGTGGAGATACAGAAATTCTTTTATTGCTGCCATATAATCTGCATCATTATACCTGCATTAATAACATTCTTCACAGCATTATTTCATCTAATAATATTTCTCACAGTATTGATACTGCATTACAGTTATTTATTGAAGATGTCCATTTGAGGATCCTTCCATTATGTTAACTTTTATTACAAGTATGGTTAGAAGTATTTTATACACATTGCATATCTGTGCTTATTTTGAGTTGATGTTCAGTTCATTAAGGGTCTTAAGCTTCACTGGCGTGACTGTCCAGGTGATACATGCTGAGGGAAACTAGAACATAGAAGGATAACTGCAATGCATGCTTACAGTACATATAATACATATAATCTAGGAATGTGTCAGGCCTGAGGCCTCAACTCATTACTATATTTTATTCTACTTGGTAACAGACGATCAGAGTCAATAATTAGCCTCAGAGACCCTGAGGGCTTGAAGTTTATTACCTTGTATGGAAGGTGTTATAGAAAAGAGAAGTTCTATGTCTGTTATAGCTATTAAAGATGTACGATTAACGGTGACTAATGTCTGGAACCTATTTTAATCTGTCATTGACGCCATGGGGGGGCGTGTACCCCACTGCTTTATAAGTATCCACAACATGTATTTTGGTCAGAAGACATATGTTGATGTTTTCTCCGGGCTGTTAATAAACTCATCGTTTGATTGCACTTTTCTGGGGCCTCCGTGGTTTGTGACACTGCTCTACATTGATTGATTTCGCGACAGTACTGAACTAGCGTTTAAATCGCAGAGGGTTAATGCGAGCATGTACCATTTCCAGTTTTAGAAATTGTCATAAAAGAGCACTTGGGCTGACCTTAGCCATGTATTCTGTGACAATGTAGAGACTGCCCCTCTCCTCCACGATTACCCCTAGCAACTGCACCAGGTTGTTGTGCCTCAGTTGCCTGTCGAAACACAGAAACAGAGGGGGGAAAAAAATATGCGGTAAGCATGCAGTAAAATATTTTTTAAAAATCATGGTCAACTTCTACCCACAAAAATGACAGAGGATGATCTAATATTTGATGAAGAAACATGTCTGCAGACAGAAACATCTGTGGTGGTGTGAAGTACAAAAAGCAATAGCTGCGGATCTTACGTCATGACAGAAGCCTCAGCGATGAAAGCCTGTGCTGTAGCGTCATTTTTGATGCACTTGACCGCCACCTTGGTCCCTCTGTAGTCTCCTACCATCACATCTGACAAGGACACAGAGGGGACAAAGTTTTACTACATTCTCCAAGGTGACCTTGGCCTGATGTGAGAAATGAAAATGAAATATGAAAATATCCTGTTTAAATTTGCTTCTTACCCCCAAACTCCCCTTTGCCAATGGTCTGGAGGAGTTTCAACTCTTTTCTGTTCAAGGCCCAGCCACCTGCCAAAAGAGGACGTTAATGACACTCTGCAATCATAATGTAAGTAATAATATTATTCCAAAAAGGCGTTATGAAAAAAATCCTCTTACAGCACGTTCATGACTTTGCAGTTACAGCAGCTATTTTCTTGTTAAAATAACTTTGACAATGATGTATATCCTTTAAGCAGGAGAATTAATCTTTGCATTTCTCTAGTGTAAGAATTAGCTGGGTCAGATGGGTATGTGAGGGTAAATAAAGACAGACAGAGCTGGAGATTGACCTTGAGAGCCGGTGAAGCCCAGCAGTCGTTCCCAGCCACACAAAGATTAACCACCCTCAGTTGATTAATGCTATTAAAGCTCGTAGGAGACGCAGGATTTCTCTGTACACTGTGTGTGTGTGTTCATGCATCTGATACTGTGAGGTTAATGTGGCATATAAAGACAAGCATAACAAAGTGTCCCTGTGTGTATTGGTGCCAGTGTCCCTGTAGGGCTGTGTAATGAGCTCTGTGTGCTCTTACTCCTAGAGAATTCGTCTTGCGCTGCCACTGTTCCCTCCATCAACTTCGGTTTAATCAGCCTGGTACAAAGGCCATCAGCGTCTTTGGTGTAGTGCTGGAGAGAGAAAGTTTGAGAATTAAATACAATCTCCATGCATAAAGGAAAAAAAAAAGTATGTATGCTTCAAGTGTTAAAAGTTACAAAGAAAATCCTCTCTCAAAAGGTTTTCCCTGAATTTAGGTCAGCAGTATATACTGTACTGTGCCACTGTACCTAGCTGAATGATCCGATACGGATGTTCTTGGATTACTTCATACTGTTGAGTCTATATACAAGCTTTTGATATGCAAAACAAAAGAGAGGCTGATGTTCGGGGCCACCCTCTGCAGAAAAATGTGACGGTAGCGATGAAAAGAAGATTCAAGCTGTGTTGTCAGATTTTATGAGAGGAGGCTCCATCCACCAAACAGGTACAGCATGACAGGTTTACCTTTTATCAACATGCATCTTTGTTAAAGACGAGGAGGCTCGTCTTGAGGGACGAAAGAAATCCCGGCCTCATTTCCATATGAAAGATGGAATAAAACAGGAGCAGCAAAGTTGGGAGGATTTACAGCAGAGTACAAAGCGAGAAAACACAGTAAGGTGTTCGCCTGAAGTTTAAGGGCTGCTTCTGCTGCTCTGTAAAATTTAACTCCAGCTCCAGTCAGAAGTACTCTATTAAAGCAGTGTGTGTTTCTAATCAGCTCCAGTTACAAAAGACATGAGTACATTTTCAGATTTGCCCTTTTTCCAGCTCTAAAACAAACCAAAAAATCCACCAGAATAAAGTTTTATTACTTTAAAAGCTCTATTTTTTTTCTTTAAATTCGTGTAGTTGAAGAGACAGCTGATCCACTATGTGTAAACTTACTAAAGGTCTTTTATGTGTCTTTCACTGCATTTCCTTTTGAAATGATTCCTACTCATGTTACGCAGAGACTCATCCACTGTGTAAAACATTTTAGCTTCCTTCCCTTTAAGACAGATTTCTTTTGATTGGCTGTCCTTTGGTAAAGTTTGTGGGTGGGTCTCCTATGCTCACAGCCTGAGTTGCGTGTCTGAGATGACCAAATTATGGATATCAGCCCTTACTGACATCATGCAGACCCATTAGTAGACTTGTTTGTTACTGGAAACTTTGAACATGTTTAATATGATATGAGCATCCACCATTGTAAAACAAAATAAGAAAAAGCATAAGGTGTAGTCTCTTTAAGCTACTTCAGATGTGGACAGATCAAGGGACAACAATACGGAGGGCAAGTCACTTATAAAATTACATCCCCTGCAGCTTTGGCTACTATATAAAATGCTTAAATAATCACTACACTACAGAAAAGTAACTATCAACAGAAGTCAGTTAAATAACAAAGGAATAAAAATCTACACTTTAAAGTCAGACACACTGTGATGAAAAGATCACACTTGGGAAATGTTTAAACCTCTGCTGGACACTGTCAGTATTAGTGTAAAGGTGAGGTTCCTGGGGAGCATTTACTGTGGGAACAAGGAGGAGGGTGACAGGGCTGGTGCATTTGCACCAAGCTGACAATACAGGGATGACTCGTCTACCTACAGAGAGCTCTGCTGTCAGATGGAGGCAGCGTGCAAAGTATGTGGTACAACCGGTCTTTGGGCCACTCTGGCATGTACTGTTGTTGGTCTGTCTGCCAGCCACGGTCAAGAGTGAGGTTATAACATATAAACAGCTGAAGTGACAATGACAGTGACAAGTGTCCACTGCAGCTGCTGTCTCTACTTTTTATACTGTATTTCTGATCTTTCAAGATTTTTTTCCACAATCCTCTCATTCAAGATGAACTCTTCTGTCACTCCCTTCCCTATTCTGGCCCACTTGTCAACCAATCGCCTTTCAGCAGACGCATACATCATCTGCTTCCAGCGATGTGCAGATAGGTTTTGGAAGACTGCATGGCAGCAGACCTGACATGGGTGAAAACGCCTCTCTGCTGTCTGTCCAAATGGAAACGTGTATGCAGACACATTTGTGGGACCATATTACACTTTACAGTTCATCCTTATAAAGACAACAAAATAATCTAATCCCAGTCCATATCTGCATATCAATTTAGGATAGTATTACAAAGGCAAGGACGCTGTTTGTCACGGCAAGTAAAGAAATAAAGACCATCTGCGTTGAATTGCAAAGGCAAAAAAAAAAAATCATGTGAAAAGAAATCAGTGCCTCCTTAAGTGATAGCAGAAGTTACATAAATCATGAAACCTCTTTGTGACCACTGTTACACAACTGTGGACTGATGTGATGACTATAGACTGTAAGATATGATTATAACCACCAGGGGGCAGCATGGTGAAGGAAGGCTGAAGACAAATTAACTGCACATGTAAAATAGCCACAGTTATACACAAATGATGCATTTAGATTATGTATAGCATTTATCAGGTCATTATTTATCATTTCTGAAGCGGTGCCTATATGATCTTGAAAAAGACAGCCCTGAAAGGACCTTAATTAGCATTGCTTATTACTGAAATGCAATCTTAGAATGCATGAAAATGTGTTTTTAGAGCACAAGTGGCTAAATCACAATCTTCCCATGTGTAATTAGCAGAGAAAGGTGTGATCACAGAGTTGAAACAGCCAGTGAGCACCCTAACAGACAATACTTTGACTGTGCAACTACACCCCTAAAAATACCATATGGAGCGAGCTTTGCTTTTGTTTTGTTTTGTTTTGTTATTTTTAAAAACCACATGCATCAGAGGATGCACTGACTGAAGACAGAGGTCTGCCAGCATTTGATGTGTAGGTCTATATGAAGAATAACAGAGCAGAGGAACACCGAGCGAGCCGGAAAAACACACAAGAATGTAAGGAATTCTATCATGCGCAATTATAGAGAAAGAAGAGACAAGGGAATGCAGACAGGCTACAGAATAAAGATGTAAAGAGATACCGAAAGAAAGAAACATAGCAGGGTAAAGCAGGGAGACGGAGACAGTGGAGGGCGAAAGGAAGATACGGAGATGAGAGGAGGAGGAGGACAGAAAGCAATATGCCAGGTATCCACCAGGGAACACAAAGAGAGAAAGAAAGGAGGGAGGGAGGGAGGGAGGTGGAGAAAGGAAGTAGAGGCTGAACTGAGCCCAGAGGGTGAGTGTGTGTTGGAGAGTGTGTGTGAGAGAGAGAGATTGTGGGTGGCTGATAACAAGAATGCGCTGGGGATGTAGATGGTCTCGTTGCCAGCTGGCACATTCCTGCCTGTCCACTTCCAACGCCCCACAAGGCAAAAAAGATGAGGCCCAATTAAAAGTGTGATAGCTGCCAATCCAGCTCTTCTCTTTATCTAAGAGGATGAAAGGCCTTTATCTCGCTCCCTCTCCGTTTCTATCATCATGTCTCCCCGTCTTCCCCTTTCCACACTCCGTCCTTCCTCTGAACCAGCTTACAGAGAGCAGTCAGGGAGTGAGAGGATCAGACAGCTTTTTGAAGGATACGTACTTGAGTCAGAGTTTTGGGAGAAGTCCACAGAGATATTCAGCATGTGTGTCCTTTACAGAGTTATGTAACCAAACTGCTGCATCATTTATCACCGTATAACTACCATAACTTATTTCTATTAGCTGTCGTGCCGTGCAGTTTAGAAGATGGATTCTAATTGTTTATTCCTAATAAAAAAAAAAACAACAACTTTTTTGTTGATTCAAACAGGTTTACATTTTCCTTTTTACCAAACAAATAAAAAATAATCAATAACCAAAGACTGCAGGTGTAATGTAAGATAATCAGCTTTTAATGCAACTGACTGACTGTCACAAATGCTAGGGGAATGTGATGGGACCATTGTGTGACCTAATGGACAATGAGATACAATATTTAACTATAGAAAATACGTGATATAAGAGGCTTTTAGCTCTGTAATAGACTAGAAACAGGTCTCTCGTACAGTGTTAACTGTGTTAAGATCTAAAACACCTTTGATAGACAGAAGAAGCATATCTGAGGGGATAAACAGTTGGCCTGAAACAAACAGAAATATAAATTCTCATAGGAATTATATAACAACCTTTTAAGGGGAAAACAAAAAACCCCAAAACAAAACAAGTAGGTTTGTTTTCCTGCTGCTCTTCAGTTTTACTGAAGAAACTCTGCTTGTTTCGGCTGCTCCCTTATTCACAAGGGGTTACCACAGCAGATGTAGCACATGTTTGATTTGGCAGATTTTTTCCACCAGATGACCTTCCTAACGCAACCCTCCCACAGGAGGAGATTTAGTTCCTCTCCTGGTCTCAAACTGGGATCTTTCATGTGTCAGGCACATGTGTTAGTTGCTAAACTATGGAGCCACCCTTTCTGAAGAAACCCTAAGATGGAATAAACTTTGTGAAATCACCAACTTTTTTACTGTAACAGTTATTTTAAGGATCGATACTACTTAATTTGAGCTACCTAAATAAAATATAGCCTAACTCTCTGTGACCTTCAGGATAGAGGAAGCATGCACTGGAACATTAAAACAAGGTGACATCTAAAGTTTCATTTTCTTACAAATCGCTCTCTTTGACGTTCAGTTAAATGCCTCAAGTCTTTCGGCTCTTAAAAACAAAAACCAGCTGGAAATGATGATGATGATTATGAGAAGGCATTCATCGTTTTTTTACTGCCAAACTGAATGCCAGTAGTACTATTAAAGGTGTTCTGTCAACAAAATTTGACTACAAATAACAGCTATATGCTCTCCATCCTTCCTCACCTCCACCAGCTGCATGAGGTTCTCAAAATACTCTTCCTCGTCGATGGTGAGTTTGCCGTTGTGGTAGATGATGCGGTAGTGCTCCACCTTGCCATCACAGCTGACACACAGGGTGTAATCTCCAGGATAGTTGGTGCTTTCCCTCACCAGGAATAAACCCGTCTCTGGAGGGTAGAGGAGCCGCTCGGCCTGCTCCCGAGTTATCTTCCCATGAAACCAGCTGGAGAGAGTGAAGAGAGGGGTGGGAATGAAGGACGTGAGGAGACAAAGAGGGAAGAGGGAGAGAGAGTATGTCAGACAAAAAGGACACACAGGATTGACTGGAAGTGTTTTATGGCCGCACACAGAGTGTTTATGTAACAACGACGTTGTTTGATTTATGTACAGAAACTCAACTTGTGCAGTTTTTTAAGAACATATCTCCAAAAAGAGAGAGAGAAGAAAACAACTAAATTTCAACCATACAGAGGTACCAAATTCCATGTATCATGGCCCACAGCCTTCCTCTGAAATGAGAAGTGAAAAACAAGAGGGGGGCAGTAATGGGAAGCCGACAGCAGCACTTCCACCCTGTTCAGCTTGAATGGTGCAGGGGCGAGGCTGTCTGATCTTGGGGAGTCAGTGAAAAAATACCTGAACCCAAACAACAGGAAACATGGTGCTAAAACGCGCACACGCATGCATGCGCACACACACATACACAAAGCCTGGGGCAGAGTCGGAAACTGACATACAGGCACTGCAATAACAGGAAAATGCAAAAGCTGCTCAGACAAGGCGGGGAGCAGGATAAAACCAAGTCACCCATTCCCGACTGCGGTCAGAGAGACCAAGAGACGGATTGAACTTTCACCACCCGCTGTAGCGAAAAGGAGGGAGATCAAAAACAAACTCCACCTCCTGTTAAGCTAAAAAGCCGATCACAATTCTGTTGGTTGTGGCAACAAAGAAACGCTTGCTTCCTGATTTAGAAGCTAACTGTTACACAACGAGCATCAACCTCGCCATATGGCTTGATAGGAGGCATCTATATGCTACTGAAGGACGGATTAGACAGCAAGATCACACACTTTGATCTACTCAACCACCATCTTTACAATCATCTGTTACAAAAACAGAATTTTTTCACACTGCTGTTGCTTTTCAATGATAATGCATCCTCCGTCGAGCTTAAATGGTAAATGTTTTTTAATCTTTGTTAGATACATTTCAGTTTCCTACAACAAAAGCTAACACCCTATTTCAGTATTCTGAATTTCCTTCCATTCATGGCTATTGATCTGTGGTATTAAGCATAAACACAGGGGGGTATCCCATGTACCCTGCTGATTTCTGCCACTATTTGTATGAAAGGTCACATTAGCCACCAAGAATTGCAAAGGACAAAGTCTCCTTATCGGCACTGGCTGGTCAATGGGTGGTAATTAACAACTATGAATGATTTAGCCCACTTTCCTGTGGCTGCCTCTGTCACGCCCTCCTCCTCTTCAATCACTCCACTTGGTCTCCTCAGACAGCAGAGGCCCTTGTGGTAAAGCTGCTTAACATGGCTCGAGTTGATTAGATCAGAATAGGGAGCTTCTCCGATGGAGAGAAGCTCTTTAACTCCCAATAATCCGAGAGCAGGCGCCAAGAGTGGATGGCCCCAGTAACACAAAGCCCAGTGGTAGACACACACTTGCTGCTTTGTCTCCAGAAATTAACCGCAGTTTTCAGAAATGACATCATATTGAAATAAAAGTGAACAACATGTTCAGCACAACTTGGAAGGAATGAGTAGGACAGCGCAGATGAATACGCCAGCTTTCTTTAGGGTGGTTTGGTTACATGGGTCAGATATCTGCCACATGAGGGCAGTAGATGGAGCAGAGTCAAGTAAAGGAGGCAAGCGCTGTATCTACAGCCGAGTATCAACCGATACGGGTGAACGTTAAAGCAGAAAACCACAGATGAACCCTTACGTAACCCAGAAGAGAGGGAGAGGTCCTCTCCGAGACATTTGCTGATGATTCATAAAAAAATCCAAAAGTCCCTGCAGGATACAGAGAAACGACTTCTGATGACTTGAGTTAAAACACTGAACTATGCAGTGATCTCAAAGGCAGCAATTAGAGCAGAAGGTCAGGATGTGAAAGCATGCTGAATATTTGGGAGTCAAAGAGCAGTGAGTTACTTTCATAGCACCCTCTTCTTCTTTCCTCCTTTCTTTTAGAAAAGCAACTCTGAGAAGGACATTTGGTTATGGCTGAAAACAAGTTTCATTAAATTCATTCTGAGCTACAGATTAATTACAGCTGTTCCCCACGTTAGCCTTTAATAATCAGTGTTGTTGTGTGCACACAAATCCCTTGTAGCTGCACAAGGCTCATTTTAAGTTACTGCACCACCGGGCCTCCTAATATCACACACAAAACATGCCTGAGCTGAATGACACAGTAACCGAATTTAAAATGGTGTGAACAGACGGTATGAGGTGGCAAATAGAGAGGTCAACGCTTTCAGCAGCAGTTGATGAAGGAAGACAAAGAGGGTCAAAAGTCTATATAAATGTTTCCTGCCAACATTTTAAGAACATATCACTAAGAATAGTTTGAGCTACACATGCAATGCTGACAAGACTGCATTTCACTTTCTATCCGCAGCTGACACCTTTATTGTGTTAATGATTTCCTTCTAGGAGCACGAGAAGAGTTCATTGTTGCTGCACGAGGTTTGAAAGGTACAAGGAAATAAATGAGCAGCTTATGTATATAACTCCTTACTGTCAAAGAAAATTAGATACTTCCAATACTGGAAACACTGAGAAACTGAAATACAATCTGTACTTCATCTTTGACTTAATTAACTTAACTATGCCCATTACAAAAAACCACAACTTTGAGGTCCAACTTACCATTCTCTTCTTGCAATTCATGTACTTCCTACTGAAATTAAGAACTTTCTTCTGCTTTGCAAAGTTTTAAGACTTGTTTATTACCATCTCAAGAGTAAACACAAATGGTCTGGCAGCTCTCACAGCTTTCAACATCTTATAGCTCATAGCTCGGTTGCAGCAGCTCGGCTTTCCTGTCTCCTTTCATTTGAATATGCCTCTCGTTATGTTTTCCTCGTTTTGAATAGCTGCATTTTCAAAGAGCCCGAAATGTCACTCAAATCTAGTGCACAGCTGGCTGTAGCCTCTATGGGTGTCTGACACAGACAACAGAAGACAGGGAATTTTCATCTTTTGAAGTCAAGACTAATTTCTCCCTCTCACAGCAGGAGACAAAAGTGAATCGGGCTATAACAACTTGTTCATACATAAAGATGTCTGAGATACAAGACACAGACCATTAGTATTTTGATTATAACTGTATTCTGTCGCAATCCTGGAGAACTTTGGTAGTTTCCTAAAATGTTATTTCAGAATGAAACAGTTCTGCAATCCTACAAAAAAAAAAAAATAAAATAAAATGTATTTTCTCCTCTTACATTGCATTAAAAAAATGTTTGTATGGTCTTAAAAATAAATGCAAAACACCACAAACACACAGACATGACAGTTTAACTGGGATTATCCATTCTAGTACTCACGGCATAAGACTGAGTTTCCCTCCTGACTTGACGCCTTCCCTTTTCTGGACATAGTTTGCTGGGATGGTGCCCTCTCTGCCCACCTGGTTCCTTGCTCTGTACCAGTTTGGATCCTGAAACAGTCAAACACACCACAACACAGCTGAAATACCATAACTAAGGCGGGGTACCATTTTTATACCAAGTCATTTTGTAGGTAAGGAACACTTCTGTACCTTAGAGATAACACAACACAGAAAGACACAGTGGAGAATAAAAGCCAAAATCCACTTCAGCCCCATCAGATATTTGTGGGCACAAGCTGTTGCATCAACAGAAACCAGCGAGTGCCTCTAGCTAAAAGGAAACCCACCAACTGAAGCAATAAAGCTGTTTGATAGGATTAAGTTCACTGAAGCTTTTTAAAAGCTGATATACTTTTTTTTTTAATGTAGCTCTTTATTTGTCTTGTCACTTGTCATACAAATGAGTGAACTAACTACTTTGTTAGGGACAAAACTTTTGGTTGTCTTGTCTTCTGACTTAAAGTACAAAAAACTAGGATTGTCTCATGAAATACTGCACAAAATACTGTTATAGGTACTGTTGCTGACATTTCAAGAATGAAGACAAATCCATGTCCTTTTACATCTCTGCATACATCTGTGAATATTTTGTATCTGTATATTGTTTTTAACATACAGAGAACATTTTACAAGTCCAATCATTGGTGAACAATCCAAAAAAAACCAACCCTATTAACTGTGAAAACCCATGAAGAAACAGAAACAGCTTAAACAGTAACTTATTCACTGAATAATAATTGCTAGGATGGCAGCTCTGTGGGTTTAGTTAGAACAACCATATTCAAGGCACTTGTTTTCTTACCCTGGTGACTCCGATGATGGTCAGTACGTCTCCTTTACAGAAGGGTAAGTCCTGTTCATTGGCAGTCTGAAAGTTATACTTGGCTACACACTCTGTGCCAGTCGACCATGGTACCTAGATTATAGAAAACACAGAGGAACCAACATTATCTAGAGGTGTAACTCATAAGGAGCTAAATGAAACAAATTACAGAACACAATAAAAGAGTTTAGAGGTGGAGAGGCAATTGGGGAGGGCGAGAAAAAGTCCTAATCACAGTGTTATGAGACTAGGATCCACTTATTAAAACCAAAGCCTGCCAGCATTACAGTCCTTATTCTGAATGTTTCTTTAGAGAGTTTACTCTTCTTCTTATGTTGTTTGTTTTCCCTTTTCAAATCTTTCAGGACCGTGTTAAATCTGTTCAAATCCAATAAGGCCTCAACAAATAAAATCGTAAGTAACACTTTTTGCAGTAGTTTCCTGGTGCAGTACAGGAAGTATGAACATCAACCTAGCAAGTAATTTTCTTCCCCATGTTTAGAGAAACTGGAGCTTTCATGGAAACTTGGGAGATTACTGTGCTAAACACTGAGCCACTGTTCAGTCATTAAAAGAGTTTATTAATCTAAAATAAAAATTAAACGTTAAATGTTGTGCATGAACAAAAGGTGTGGCATAGATAGTAAGCAATAATTTGTCTGGGCTGAGCTGTGCTCGATATTGCACACTTGAAAGGCAGAGATAATGCACCCCAAGGTAGTTATTTGAATCTTGACAAAAATGTTAAGACTGCAATAACATATCAGATAGAAGCAGTAACTGTATAAAGCAGCAACTTTTTTTGTGTAATGGTAGTACCCTCCCCATGAATCACAGGCATAAAACCCTATATAACACCTAAGTGTCTAAAGCCAAAATGTTTTTCTGCTTTGATATCCAAATAAGCATTTTTCTGGATGATCTGCTAAAAGGAAATAAAAGGGACCTATGACACTCATTTCGAGCTCCAAATTTGAATTCTTGGAATCAAAAGTAGCTTTGGATGATCAGTCCATGTTTACATTACACTGGGCCTCACTGCAGCCTTTCATATATAAAAATTATATATGAAAAATGAAAACAGATCTTCTCTAAATACATTTCTCTTTTAGATTGCCAATTGACATCAGCTTGATAAACATGTCTACCATTAAAAAGCATTTAAATGTGTAATTTAAAGGAAATTTCACCATTTAATCGCATAAATTTAACTAGTGTTGAGATGGGAGTTGTTGACAGTTTCAAGCTACTGAAACAAGCATGGAGGACATTTAAATTCAAGAATCTCATTTCAAACTTGATATTTTTCCATTTTCAGACATTTAGAGTTCAGTTACCACTCCATGGGTTAATTTTGTTTATGCTTGTAAAACAAAAACCGGATGAGGCAGGTCTCCTTCCTAGATAACAAATAGTAGGTTTATTAAATCTGCTGACCTCAGCTTATTCCCAGCATAGCCCTGCCAAACCTGTACCTGCTTAGAGATAAAATAACCCTGAGAGAAAAAAATAAATACCTGTGTATGTGTGTACCCAAAACAATGTGCTTTCAGTGAGAATTATTGCCTGTTCACTCCACTGCAGTGACTTTGAACCTCAGCTAAAGCTCTGCCATATAGTTGCACTCACTATCAATCTTGACTTGTCTAAAAGCCACAGCTGCAAGAATCACATATAAATGACAGAAAAGAAAGGAAAACAGAGCATTCAGATCGCACTGTTAGATCAGGAAAGCGGTGTGATCACTATCATGCCTCAATAACGTGAAATGACAAAGCCAGAGAACAAAGCAGCAGGTGTGAGTGAGCGAGTAGAGCCCTTGAACAAGCTGCTTTATTTGCAGTGGAGGCTGTGAATGTGTCTATCGCAGTCAATAGAGCGTTACGAGTTTGATGGCTGCCGTGACACAGAAAACCCCCCAAAAACCATTGCATCTCCCATAGCCTTCATTTCCATGTGGTCACATCAAGAAAAGAACTTTATTAAACTGAGGCTCTGCTAGACCTAATGTGTCATTGGGGGAAATTTCCTTGCGGCTCTTAAGTAATTTAAGACATAGCCTCATGCAACACACAAAACAGCTGGGGAAGAAAACTACGGCTAAATTTAACACCAAGTTGCGTTCATATATTTTTAACAGCAGCATGTTTTCCTTGTGTTGTTTCCTAAGAGGGAAGCGCTCGAGAAGAGGATGTAGATCATCCACCTCGAATTCACCTCTTGGGCGATATACAAGTCAGTTTATTGTATTTGCTTACTCCACCTCTACAGTCCCCCCCCCCATCCTTACATTGTCAATCTTTACAGAGGACTTTACATTTATACTTCTGCAAAGCTTTGAATTTTGATGCTTAAATATCTAGAATAATGAAACTATTATTAGCTACAACTTGGACTGATTGAGAAAACATTAAAAAAAAAGCTAATAAGTGCAAAAAAGCATAATCAGCTAGATTTCATTCATCTGATGCAATTATATTTCACAAGATGGTTACATATTTAAAGCGTTAAGCAAAATGCAATTCTTAATCTTCCTAAATAAAATTCTACTATTTAAATATTGACAAGAAAAAGAGAAGTTAAAAGTAGTTGACAGTATAACTGAGATACGTGCAATTTGAACTTCCAGCTTTGTGCTAATAGGAAGCTTCAGTTTACGATTAGACAGAATATAGAAGGAGGATCAAACAAAAGTTAAAGTCTTGAAGTTTTAAAAAGTGCTGTGATCACAGCATCAAGAAACCTCTGGCAGATCAAGGAGGAGTATGCTACAGTGTTGTCTTAATCTAGAGAGAGAGATGCTTGTCATCCACATTAAACAACATTAACAAAACCAGACAACTGTTGCTTGGACATATTAACCTCCAGAGGGCAAACGTAATGCAGCAACTGAAGACGTGAGGAAACTTTTCTATCTTTACAGAAAGGCATTATTAATTTAATGATTTGTAAACAAAACCACGGGAACTTATTTGGAAGAGTTGCACATGTATTTATATCTAAAGTAAGAATAGTGCTGTTGGAAGATCAGATGTCTGTATTGGTGGTATTTCACAATGTTATGCTAGCAGCTTTTCTTTGTGTGGTTACATTAGTTTTTGACCGAACTGTAACCTGTGGGCCAGCTGCTTGATGTGACAGAAAAGCTCAGACGATTATGATGCGTCATCGTTATGTTCACTTTAAGACTTGTTGGGAAGCCTTTACTGCACTCAGTTACATAATGTGTTCTTGTCAGCGTGATTAATATTATTTCACTTCATTTATCTTGTCAGCTCCAGTCCACATGTGATGCATGTGTGAGTGAGCGCAGGTGCACTCAGTGAGAGCAGGGTAAAAAGAAACTATGGCAATCATAAATGACAGTAGTACGCAGTGAAGACTCGCTGCACTGAACTGAGAGTAGAGCAAATAAATGGGGTCAACCATTGTTTCTCATTTTTATTCACCTAAAATTTACTAAAGAAAAATACCAATTCATTAAATTGGATAAATGTATCTGATCAATTTTATTTTTAAAAGTTAGGAAAGCCGTTTTAACTGAAACCTGATATTGCCCGATACATAAAATAAAAAAAGGTCTCTTCCTCAGGAGTGTACAGTGTATTAATGTAAAACTGGTATTGGGGTGATACCAGCAGATACCCAAAACAAATGTATTAGATTCATAACTGGGAAAAGAGTTAGATCTAAAGCTTTTATAGACTTTGTAACCATCCAGAACAACTAAAACATGCTAATGAGAGAATCTTGAGTTTTTATTTCAAACAGATTCTTTGAAATATAGAGAGGAAGAGGATTTTTAATTCTATTACACGTGGACACAAAAAGTGTGCAAGCAAAGGTGGAAAAAAGCAATATGTTCTTCACTTACATGGATCCCAGACATGATGAAGGGAATTTGGCAGCAGGTGTCCTCAGGCAGGTAGCGGTCACTGTTCAGCTAGTACCATGAGAGCTGTAAGACATAAAGATAAAGGCATTAGAAAGACAACAAATGTATTATATAAAAACTGCTGAATGATCACAGTGTATGTCATAACAATAAGAGCACAAACAGCCACAAAAGCACATCACAAGCATATCTCACTGGCTGGTTAATCAGCCCAAATGAAACAGTTCCAACAACTCTAGCACTGATCTGATCACTCTACAGCTAGCATGGCTGACAGATTAGTGGATGGTGTCTGCTACAAAGTGTTAGTAGAGATTAGGGCAAATGTGATTTAAATTTAAAAAAAAAAAAAAAAAAAAAGGATTAAAATAACGTAAAACGCCAATCTATCCATTCTCTTATAGAGAACAGGACACACTGGACAGGTCATCAATCCATCGCAGGGTTAATATGAACAGACAACCACTCATGCTCACGTCTGACCAACTTAGAAATGCCAATTTACCTAACCCATGGATGCCTTTGGACTGTTGGAGGAAGTCAGAGTATCTGGGGAGAACTCTTGTAAACATGGAGAGGACATGCAAAGTCAACACACAAAGGCTTCGGTTAATTCAAACCCAGAACCCACTGCCGCTTTAAGACAATAACCAAATGCAATCATTGTACAGTAGGAATCATAAGTTTACTTACTGTCTTAAAAAAAAAGAAAGCATTTTATTAAAGTGCTTAACTGCCACTAGAGCAGGGCGATATGACCAAAAATATTTATCACGATATACATTTGAAAATTTGCGATAACGATATAACTGACGATATAATTGACACTAGACAAAATACTTTACAACTCCACAACTTTATTAGTGCAAAAAAACCCCAAAAAACATCAAAGTATTTTCACTTAAACGAGCAGGTGTTTTTTATGTCCATTAAAGTTAAATAAAAATTTAACAGTGCAAATTCCTTGCTGACAGTTGAAACAAAAGGCATTTCCAGTTGAAATTGGCCGACATATCCTCAACATAACCATGTATAATATCCACAGAACTTAAAAAGAGGTTATACACGCACAACACGGTAATATTATGTTAAAGCACAGCATGTATCACTCCGCGAGGCTCCTGCCTACGATAGCCGTAATGCTCCGACAATCCATCAAGCTGTGCGGGTTCGTAGTTTAGCAAAGTCGTACTAAAAGATCTGACAGATTTTCGAGTGCCGTGTACCACATAAAATCGTTTCAAGGTCAGTAAAAACAACCAGAATTCATACATAAGGCACACGGGATTATAAAGGGCACTGTCGATTTTCAGAAAAATCAAAGGATTGATTTTAAGTGTGCCGTATTTTCCAAAAAACACGGTAATAACGACGGCCCGCTAGCATGCTCTACCAAAAATAGTGCTGGCCAAACCAGTTCCACACCACTGAAGTTGCAGCATTTTTACAAACCAATTCTGATTCATCCGTTTCATTCAACGATCCGCTTTCGCCCTTCTCATTCTCCGCCATGCTTTTTCCACCATGTGCATATGAAAACAAAGGCACTGTGCATGTGCGTTTTACCCATATCCTATCGCGATATTTCATTTTCTTATCGTTGCCGAACATTATACCGGTATTACCGTGAAAGGTATGATATGGCCCAGCCCTAACTGCCACATTGCATTTTAAAAGATTACTTTTTTAATTTTCTACTGCACAAAGTCTTACACAACACAGCGTTGTTATAATGAAGCAGAAGTAACACTAGGTGCAGGTCTCTCACGGTAGGCTCCATTCAAGCATCTTACTTCCGTCCAGTCCAGAAAACAGCAAGTTGAAACAGGGAGGGTGGAGCGTAAGTAGGAGGAAGTTGCTGACAAACAGTTTCCAGTGGTTCTTATGGAGGCAGGAAAGGGCTGTATTTGGATACCAATGTGAACATGTCTACACTGCTGATCTTTAGACTAATTTTAAATGGTCTAAACCTAACTTTAAAATAAAATCAATTTAAAAGAGGTCAGTACTGGGAAAAAACAACAACAACAACAACAACAACAAAAAAACCCTTCAAATTGGACTGTGACTTGTTCTATGTATTGTAGATGGACTTGATGAAAAACAACCTACAGCTTTCACTTGGATTATATTTCACTGAGCATAAGCAGGCGAATCCCCCAACTTATGAAATAACAGAGCTCTGTGTAATTTTAGATCCATGAATCTCCTTCAAAGAGCCTGGCATTCTCCCTAAGAGCATCTATAGCAAAGCTTCACAGCCCTACCATATCCTGTGTTGAAACAGGAAACAGCCTAATTGCAGACCACTGCAGAGCAGTATGCAAACTGACAGAGCCAAATATATCCAAGGCCAGGCTGCTCCTGTGAACCCAAAGCGTACTTCTTTTCCCTTTACCACTCTTTACATCTAAAGCAACCCTGCTGGAACAGAGCAGCCACACTTGCTAGTCAATGGAAAGGAGACAAGTGAGTGCTATTCTTATCTTGCTCCAGCGCTGAGGAATAGCTGCAAGCTATTCAAGAGCTTCAACATTTCACTGATTACATCACTCTCCATAAGTTCATCAAGTGGTACTCAATAAGGGCCTCTGTCTTTGTCAATTCAATTTTCTATAGAAAACATTTGAGCAATAACACCAACACTTTGTCCCACAGAGCAGACTATATATTTCTAATACACATACCTGCATCAACATACATGTTTGATACTGGGAAAGGCAGTCCAGAGAGTGCAATTACAGTACAGTATTCTTGCTGAGTATCTGTGTAAAAGCCCAAGACTGTGCTCAGTCTGACAATGGCATCCGATTTAAAAACAAGACAAAAGCAAAAACATAGGTAAGTGTGCCTGAGTAAGCAGCTACAATTTCTGGCACAGTGTGACGATTTATCAGATGTCAAGACGCGGAACATCTTAGATTCCTCTGAAACAGGATTTTTGATTAACATAGTACTACTTTGTGCAAGAAATTCTACCTGGTGCGTGCCCTTGTATCGAGTGGACTGGATAAAAAGCCAATGTGTTCATGACGTGCTGTGGAACCAGAGAAAGCCAATCCAAAACAGAAAACCAAACACACTTGAAATTTGTGTTAAATTAATTTAGCAAGACAGTATACACAATACATTTATAAATTTAAAGTTTAAGTGAGTCAAACAATTCCCGGTGAATATTCCTTTTTTTTTTTTTTGCTTTGCTTTGCTTTTATTTTTGCTTAAAATGTTTATCCATAACAGACTAGCCCAGGAATGTGAACCTTCAGTTTTCCTTTAGCCTGATGTAAATATGAACCATGATCCTGGCCAGATGAGCAATAAGCACAAACAACAAAATCTTGTAAAGAGAAATGGTTCAAGTGTATGGCTGTTCAAATATCACATCAAAGAGTACATTTTTAATTCAGGCTCACAACCCCCCAAGTACCACATGTACCACACATGAATGCAAATCACTTCTTTCTCCACGCCCCTCCTCCTAATTGTCGTCCGTTGTGTGACAGGAGCTGAGTGTTATGGCAACACACCAAGTGATGTAACAGTAGGCTTTGATGCAGCGCTGCTTTTCTCTCTGCTGTGCCAGATGCCAGTAATAATGTTATGGTTTTATTTTATGTGTCGTTTGTATTCTAACCTGCATTGTGTGTGCCATCCTGTTCTTTTTAAACCTTTGTGATTCATATCAGCTCCTGCAACCTACTGCACTTTGGTGGATGTAGATTAAAGAAATTAAGTGCTCGCCTCCCATCTACAATATGCCTGTATGATCTTGTTTCACCACATTAATATTTCAGTGCATCGAAGCTCTTAGACAACTTTTTGCATTTTCCATGACCTCAGAGAATACAGCGATGTTAACTCTTGTTTCTGTACTATACACCCCCAACCGGATTCCTGAAGAGCTGTTGCTCAGTGCACCACAGAACACAGATACAAAGAACTATCAAAAACTATGACAGGACTGGGTTTTTATTATATGGTGTCTATACTTCTCAAATCAGCTCTGAAAAAAAGACAACTGAGATAGCGGTAACAAAAGATGATTCATACACCCCCACATCAGCGGACAGGACAGTTACTGCAAAATAATCTATTGCTTCATTTTATTAAAAAGAAAAAAGAGAGAGAAAAAGACCAAAAATGTCAAAACAGAATTAACAAATGTTTCCTTTGAAACAAATGTAACACTGACGTAGGGTCTCTAATTGTGTTATTGGTTCATTTTAACACATTTTTAGTTCATTTGCTTTAAGAAGTTGTAATTTGTTCCAATATAGAAATTTTCCTATTGCATAATTTCACAAGAAGTGAAATGCAAGAGACTGATTCTGACATAAAATAATGTTGGAGTTAAAAGTGCATTTTCGAATTCACAGTTCTTAGAATACTGGGAAATTTGTGTCATCTAGATATAAAAGATTAAAATCACTATTTAGTGATTGCAGAGAGCAAAACCTCAGGGTACTTGAACTGATTTAACCACTGACACAAGTTTTCTTTTCTTTTTTTTCTTTTTTTACCCATTTACTGAAAGATATTTCAATTAGAGTTATTTAATGGACATGGACATAATGTGTAGACTCTCAGCTTTCAATTGAGGGTATCCACATTCAAACCCGATGAAGGCTTTAGGAGTTTGAGCTCCTTAACATGTGCCACCATTTTTTTTTTTTTTAAAAGAACCAAAAGTATTTGGACAATTGACTCAAAGGCTATTTTATGGGCAGGTGTGGGTAATTCCTACGTTATGTCATTAATTATCAGTTAAGCAGATAAAAGGCTTGGAGTTGAACACAGAAAAATACCTATTTCTACAATATTAAGAGTGGCAACTTCTACAGTTGGCACATCCTGAGAAAGATGAAACGCACTGGTGGAACAGCTTGTGATCCAAAGCATACCACATCTGTAAGGCACAGCAGAGGTAATGTGATGGCTTGAGCGTGCATGGCCAGTGGCACTGAAGACACTAGTGTTTAATAATGATATTCTGACATGTTCAGAGACATATTGTCTTATCAAATCAGCTACGTGCGGTCACACTGATTGGGCGGAGTTTTATA